TTCCTCCCGGTCTCCAGGAATGGCGTGACAAACACCGATTGGATCGCACACTGGTTCTCAGTGGGCCTGGGAACTGTGGCAAGACGGCTCTGTGCGCCGCCCTGCTGGCGGAACACGGTGCTTACTATTTTTTGGACAAGCTGGATGTGGTCAAGCGATGTTTGTTTCAAAGCACGACATCTCTTTTGGTTGACGATGTATGCCTCCGATCTGCTTCGGTTGATGACGCCAAGTCCTGGCTGGACAACACCGTTTGCAGGTTTGCGTCCTGCCGACACGAGGATGGTATGTTGCCTCCGGGCATGCGGTGCTTCACGACCAATTGGGACAAGCGTGGGTTCCTGCCCGACGAAGCCCGGCATGAGGAACACTTGGTGGCGATTGAGCGGAGGATGTGGTTTGTTGAGGTCGGTTCTGATCTTCGTAAGAACAGTGCTTCTTTGACCAGTTCCTCTTCGGCGGTGCTGCCACTGCCAGCTTCCGATGAGATGTTGCAGGTGCGGCCATGTGTGGAACATGTTACGATTTAATTCCATGGAATTTTGCAGCAGAAACTTGAAACTTGAAATCGGCCTTTCAATGGAATTAGTCCATCTGTCAGGAGCCGGAAGATGAGGATGTCTTTGGCCATATGAGCCACGTTTTTTTTGCAAATGATTAGGTTTATACAAAAAGGGAACTGTTGAGAAGTCGCGGAGGCTGTTCTGCTTGGGGCGTAGGCGTCGTGTAAGCATTTTGCGTAGGTGGGTGTTGAAAGATTTGCGTAGGCAGTCTTGCGTAGGCACCCTTTTCATGAAAGCCTGAATTTTCTTATTCAGACTTCTTTAAAAGTTGTTCAAGGGTCTTGGGGAAAGATAAACAGGAACCTGATGTGACCCAGTCGCATCGGGCCACTACTTGCGGATTATATAGCTCTTTTCGAGTCACCTGATGTGACTAAAGTTGGTGACAGTACCCTGCGTAGGCATCCCGCGTAGGCATAGGCATTTGCTTGAGAGGGGAGCCCAGGCTTCCATTGAAAGGGCGGACGCAACTTTACGAATGTGTTTCTGTTTGTGGGTGTTAGCAAGCCAAACTGCTGTTCCTCCATGTTTTGACATGGTGTGTCGCTGTTCACGCACATAGTTATGCGCCTTACACCTGTTTTAGGCGCCTCTAAGATTTGCAGTTTGGTGTGCAAACGTGACCGTCTCCAACTCAGTGTCCACATTGGTCATTTTTGTTCAGAACATCCTGCGTGCGACCGTTTGGTCGTCCTGGAGAAGGTGAGCCACATTGTCCTTTCACGTGGCTATCTTGCCCTCTGACTTTTTTGACATTTGGTCACATAAACCGTGAATCAAACATATAGAGTATGAACATGTTAGTGTGCAAATATATGACCAAATATCTTTTGCGAACCGCGCCATCCTGAATTTGGAGACCCGCACTGGAACTTGACCTCGAATTCAGTGACCGCAGCCCAACTCGACCGCGGTATTTGGCGAACTGCGGCATCCAGAACACAGAGACCCAGGTTCGAAGTTGACCATGTCAAACTCAGTGACCACAGTCGAACCGGACCATTCCGCAATCAGCGGCTCACACCTTGACAGTTTTTGCGGCTATTTGGCGTTCGATTTTTGTTGCCAGTGATACACTTCTTGATTTGTGGATGGTACACTCTTGATTTGTGCAGCCGTGCGCTTCTCGATTTGTGCACAGGTACACTTCTCATTTTGTGCACAGGGACTCTTCTTGATTTGTGTTGGGTACAGTGCACAGGCACTCTTCGTGATTTGTGTTGGGTACACTCTTGATTTGTGCAGCGGTGCGCTTCTCTACAAGAATGCTACACCGCCCTGCCCATTCCCTTCCCCATTTCAATGTTGATGTGGGTGCCCACAGCGCAGCCGAGTAATTAGGTTAGGCCTCACAGTGAGAAGTGCATGCACGCCTGTCCACAGCTCTGTGTGTTCAAAACGGTTTCTTTGTGGGAACGCGCGCAGAGGCCGGACTGTAACGCCAAGCAATTGAAACGCGCGCGCCGTTTCCGTTTGTAATCAGGACATGCCTCCAAAGAGGAATCGCGTGGAGGCGGTCTAAGCTTTGTGTGGGGTGTCTTCTTGTTGCGCAAAATGTTGGTTCCTTGGTGAGGTCCTCGCGGAGGAGTTGAATGACTTGAAGCAACGACGGGCCGTGATGCGCGCGGCCAACCGTGCATTGGCAAAGCAGGAGAAGAATATGAAAAAACGACGTGCCCGCCTTGGACATCTTCGAAATTTGAATACAGTTGCTGCTGTTTCGCACTAGGCTGCCCGGCAACTCAGCCGTGACGACCTGTTACTCCTGGTGCACCAAGCGGGAGCAGGAGGCCAGGTGCCCGATGGACGGCCCAGCATTCACTCATGGGGCATTTGCGTCCGGAGGTGGTGGAGCTGCAGTGGTCGCAGCTGGTGGTGGAGATGGCGCGGAAAGTCTTCTGTGTGAAAAGATCCCCGGAATTGTGGCTGTCTATGCGCGTGTCACTCTCGGAGGTGGTGGAGCTGCGGTGGTAGCAGCTGGTGGTGGAGATGGCGCGGAAAGTCTTTTGCGTGAAAAGATCCCCGGAATTGTGGCTGTTTATGCGCGTGTCACTTTCACAGGTCATGGTGCTCCCCCTCCAAATCTGCCAGCTGGCGCTGCAGCTGGCGTTGCAGGGGAAGGTCTAGACTGTTTGTTTGCTTTCTGCGTGTGTGGAGCTCTTGGCAGACCAGGTGCGAATGATGTGGAGGAGGCTGATGCCATTTCATCTGAGAGTGATCGCGGCGAAGGCGCGCGGGTGGATGTGGTTTTGAGTGTGTTGCTCATGGCCGAAGTTTGCTCTAAATCAGTTCTCATTGGAGGCGGTGCTGCTGATGGTGATGGTGAGGAAGACTAGGTATCCTCAGGGCAGCTGCTCAGTTTGGAGACACGCTCCTGCGATTTTTGAAGGCGATCAGAAAAGTATGATGGGGTTGCTGGGCCAGTGATCCAGAGGCAAAGTTACGGACTTGGTTTCGGGGCTTTTGCTGACGCAGGAAAACTGGACACTCTAGGTGGGGCCTCCTCAGTACCTGGTACATGCCACATGAGGTACCAGGTGTCTTTCACACGCTCCTCCGGCATGGTCGAGGCTTTGGCCTAGTGATCTCGAAGAAGCGGCTACCGCAGTGGGCCACAGGCCATTGGGGAGTAACTGGTTCCGCCCGGACAAGATCAAGGCCACATCTTCGTTTGCCTGGAAGGACTTCTTGTCCAGGTTATGCAGCCACCAGCCCGGACAGCCCGCTCGACTTCAGACAGGCACAAAATGCGGCCGAGAGATCGGGAGTCGCAAGCCCGCACCGCTGGAGTTTAATGTTGCCAACGAGCGCAAGGGTTGCCCAAGAAGTGTATGAGCCGTTAATAGGAATTCAGTATCCCATGTTGTGCAGCCGAATGGGAGACACCTGGCAAATAGGTACCACCTGATTGCCTCAGGCCTAAGATTTGTCCACTGGTGCCATGCTTCGCCCAAATGTGGATGCAAGGAATAACCCAAGGAAAATTTTTTTTCCACGAGTACGGACGCCGTGTGGGCATGGTGCCCAGGTCATCGTTGAAGGGAGGGAAAGTCAGTCGGATGGTGGAAGGAATAACCCAAGGAACAACCCTACTGTGCGAGTGTATCAACATCTCGAAGACAAACTTACCAAAGCAGGAGCCTTGCCATCTGTCCGGCCATGAAATGGCCACCCTGGCTGCACATGATCCCAGACATGGGCGACACCCCTGGCTTAGGATAGAGGATCATTCCTCCATCCACAGCTGTCGTGGCCCTGCTATCAATTTTGTTAGGGTCTGGGTGCGAGCCTTAGCTCGGGTCCGGAGTAGGCCAGCAATTGCGAAACAGTACTCCTCAACACGAGTCGCTAACCATAGTTGCCCTCCGTTATACATGGAGTAAGTGCCCAGAGGCTGTCGGATAGAGAAGGGTCTCGGCGTGGCGGTGATGTCGACAACGGCAAATCGTCCACCTGCCAGACACAGTAGTCGGTCACCGGTTTAGGTGTCAAATGCTGCGGGTCGTGGTCGCCCCGAGATGCAAGTTTTTCGGCACCATAGCATTCGATGACCTATAACGCAAACGACCTTTGGCGACACAAACTATCTAGACCCAGCCTCAACGAAGCTATGCTTCAGAGCCAGGAGAGAAGCAAGTGCGACGTGAGCAGTGAGTTGAGCCAAGTGCCAGTTTTTGAGCATTAGAAAAGGAGGATTTCCAGGCATATATGGCAAGCAAAATGCACAGACACCAAGTAGAACCATGACCTCTTCTCGCCATCCGCTGCGAAGTGAGCCGATAGGAGCGAGAACCTTAGTTCTGCGTTCCTACACGGCGGGTGGTAGATAGTGGCAATGAAGGATGCCCAGGGGGAACCTTAGTTCCCGCTGTTGATGTCCGACATTTCCAATTTTGTACAAAGAGGTACAGATATCATGCTAGGAGAGCTCAATGTTTCACAGGTTTCACACGGGCCTTGCACGCACCTCTCACCTTTTGCCATTACACAGCGCCGCACAGACTCAAGTGACATCCCCTTTTCGGCACCGTTGAGTGCCGAAGGGTGTTGGGTCTGCCTCCCCACGGGGAGGTGGTGCCCAGCTGCAGGCTTCTCTCGCTAGGAATTGCCGCCGTAATTGAATTCTGTCTGGCAGCATGTGACTGGCCTTGTATGCGCCACCGGTTGAACGGGTTGTGCTACAAGTATGGTCTTTTCCATGGATTGCTGCTTAGATCTTCGCACATTCGGTTGGCCTGATTACAACCACTGCTGGAGCATTGCGAGACACCTGACCTGCAAAGTGACCTTGTTTTGCCACACTGTGGTGTGGCCGCTGGTCACCAACACTTGGTAAGGAAAGTCCGTTTGAAGCCTTCTAGGCGGCTTTCCATGAACACAGCTTGCGCTGCAGTCCTCTTCTTTTGCGAATTCAGGCCCACTAGTTGTCACTAGTCTCAGTTTCACACGTTTCACCTAGTGTATAGGGAAGACTACAAGATGGTGGAGTCGGCCTGCGGGCTTGGGTGTTTGGTTTTGGGTTGGTTTTTGGGGTCTTCGTTCCTTTCTCCACCATCTGTCTTTTCTTCCCTTCCTTCAACGATGACCTGGGCACCATGCCCACACGGCGTCCGTACTCGTGGAAAAAAAAACTTACCAAAGCAGGAGCCGACACCGACGACATCTTGGCCCTTACAACTACCCGGGAAGGGGCCACGAATCTACGTAATTACTTCACCATTGCAGGCAAAAAGGCCAATGCAGAAACTGCAGTCAAAGTTGCAGGTGCCACGGCCAAACACTGCATCGTTATTCACGGGGTGTCAACCTTTCTCAGTGGAGAAGGGCACAACCTGGATTATGACCAGGAGTGCTTCACACGAGCAAATGTGGCATACAGCCAAGCCACCAACCTCACCATCCTGGCCTGTCCTCTGAACATGCAAGGGATGCCTGGGGCCCTGCAGGTTCTGGCGGCCCTTTTGCATGGTGTCCAAATGAAAAAACTCATGACAACAAAGAATCCACTATTCGAGGCTCGCTGGACCTTACAGCCGCACAGGTTGCGCAAGCCACGATAGTCTTCCAGCAGGCGCTTCTGCCCCACCCACTGTGGTCAGGCCCGCCGCCCGTCTGTCTCGCAGAATACCATCAAGGCAAGGTGAGGCGCTTACGTCTCGTCTCAGCTGCTCTGACGCACTTGACCAAGGCGGAAATTGCTAGCCTGCAAGAAGGGCCCCACCTACCTGGTGGAACGGTCTTGCATGACCTCGTCTATGGTTATGCAGTTGATGCTTCGCCTGAGCCGGAGTGGTTGGTCACAACCGATGGGCAGCAGCCAGGACGTTGGCGACTTCTTCACAATAGCTTTGGCCCAGGGCAAAGGTGCAGCGTAGGAAGCTCCCTGCGCTATCAACCAACGCCATGCACCGGTGAACAGCGCAGTGCACAAGACTACACCTTCGAAGCCTTGCACCGAGTGTACTTTTATGATGCATGGAGAGTGCAGCCAGTCCTGGATGCCCCCGGGTCTGAACTCGTCCTGCCGCCGCAACCGGGCCTTTTAGTGCACGGCTGTTATTGGCCTCAGCCAAGTGCAACACCTGATGTCCTCTCTGTCTCTGACCGTGACACAGAAAAGAAGGAACATGACGTGCAAGCGGGACAGCCCCTGTCCTCGAAGAAGCAAGTGAAGCAGTCTCTGTCCACAGCTCCTCCTCAGAGACGCCTACCATCCCGAGCGCAGTGCAGCCGGAGGAAGACGACGCGCGCGTGGAAGACGGTGACAGCGCTACCACCTCCTCTGCAGATGAGGGTGATTGCCTTAGCAATCATCCGGCCTCCCCCGAAACACGTCCAGCACAAGACGAAATGCTGGCAGCAGAAGATGAGGTAAGCAGTACGCTGCCCCCGCAGGGCGTGGACCCCCAAGGTAACAGCCCCACATCGCACTTCTCTGAGTCCCCAATCAAACGAAGACCGGGGTCTAAGGCTAGTGCAGGGAGAGCTCAGTCCAAAAAGCTACGGCAATCACTTGCTCCAGCATCCAAGCAACCGCTCGGTAGCATCCCTGAACACGAACAACCACCGGCCACACTGGCAGACCTCGCCAGTCGGAATGCTCAAAGGCAGGAGGCTCCCGTTTGCAGGAACCCCGAGACACCACCTGACCATCCAGGATCAATGCAAGAGCGCCCATACGCCATGACAGAAATTGATATTGCCAGTGATCAAGGGCATGCAGAACGAGGAGGCACTGCTGCCACTGATCTCCAGCTGGAATCTGAGCAGCGAGCCATGCAGGCACTATACGACTATCAAAGTGCGGCTCGAGCAGCCAGAGAAGCGGACGGACAAAGTGTGCCGCTCCCCTCACTACAGATCTACAGTGACCTGCCTAGGGAATGGCCGATGGCGAGGCTTGCAATCTCCAACAAGCAAATTAACCGCCTCGTCCGTACATTCCTCTGGAGGCGGGTAACAGAAAAAGCACTCCATGGCTCCTCCTTTGGGGACATTCCAGATGAAATCAACCAAGCCTACATAGGAGACCTTCACCGTATAAGTGAAGCTTTTGCCGCTCCCCTGGCCAACCTTTTCACTTTCGTGAAGAGTGGACACCCAGCGTGCCCTTTCATCACTCAAAACCAGTTAGCCCTTTATGCAAGCCCTCGTTTCTGGCAGTATGGCCTGCTTTCCTTTATCGCAAGGTGCTGTTCCTTTGATAATCAACACAGGCACCAGGGTGCAGGAACTGCTCAGGCAGTGGCTGTGAAGCCACAGAAAACAAAAGAAAAAGATGTCGATGCCCTCACCTTTATGCAAACGGTCATCATGTCCTTTGTTAGGGGAATGGAGTATGGTGAGCAAACGCTACCCACCAATGACCTCTTTGTCTATCTCCCGGTGCAGACCCTGCCTGACTTGGTTGTAGCCATGGAGCGGCAGGGCTTCACGCCCACGCAAGTGCAAGGGGGCTACGGCTACCGACCCAAAGATGAAGAAGCTGAAGACAACCCTCTGCTCGTTGTGGGAGTGCGCACTAAAGAAATTGCTTACGACCGATACCCCCGAATGCCGGATACGTCCTGGGCTGAAAGAGCTTACTCTTGTGGTGCCCTTGACCCGTCTTTAGGACAAGCTATCTCGTTTCCTTCCCTTCTACAGCTGAGGCTGCGCATTGAAGTCCCCTTGTGGAGAGACCTGGCAACTGCCAGACACCCCTCTGCAGACTTGCCTGCAGAAGAGGACTCTGCCTCTGATGCTACCGGGTCAGCTGAGCGATCGCCCAGGTTTGCGCTCCCGGTGCCAGTGGGGACTGCTGAACCACCAGAAGCTGGTACTGAGGAAGCAACTG